ATATATATATATATGTATATTTATTTAAGTAATTTAGAAAGGACAAAACACGTTTTTTCAGGTCAACTTTATTCCATCAGCACATCGATGAAATTCCAATTTGTGGCAACTACGTCCTTCCATCAGGAAGAAGTTGCAGGTACCCACCAAGTATTTGCAGCTGAACAAACATTTATTTTCTCGCCGTTCCTCCCCCCCCTCAATTTCTAATAAGTATTATAAAAACCATAAAAATATGTCAGTGATCGTCGGTTTTCTTTTTTTTTTTTTTAATCAGCTACCCTCGCTACCGTCGCCAAAACAACACCCAACCCCATATTTATTAGGGGGACCTAAAAGTAAAGTATTCGTCGAGATAGAACTTTTTTTTTTTTGGTATTAATAGTAGCTTTGAAGTATAAAAAAAAATTTGGCATTGCAAAATTAGTAATTAGTTATATTTATATAATTTATATAATTAAAATATATAATTAATAAATAATATATATATAATTATATATATATATATTGGTCATTCTTTTATATATATTATTATATATATTTATTATAATTATTATATTAATAATTATATTATTATTTATTTATTATTAAATTAATATAATATTTATATATTATATTAATATTATATTAATTATATTTATTTTATATTTTTATATTTATATATATTTAATAATAATAATATTATAATAATAATAATAATAATAATAATAATAATAATATTTGATAATAAATATTTAAATATAATAATATATTAATATTATATAATAATATATTATATATTATATTATAAATAATATATTATATTATATAATATTTATATTAATATTATATTATATATATATTTATTATGTAAATATATAATATATATGTAAATATATATATTTATAATATAAAATACATATTATGTAAAAATACATATAAAATATATATTTTATATATATATAAAGAAATGGCTCTTGGAAACCGTGTTCGAAAAATTAGTGGTCTCGAATTGGTTAACTAAAAAAATTTAAGGAATTAATTCAATTATTTATCATTTTTAAAAAAGAGATTACTTTTAAGTCCCCCTACTTTCTTTCTTTCTTTGTTGCAAATGACTTTTTTTTTTTAAAATGGCTAATTAACATGTGTTGCTTGATTATTCCTATGCTGTTATTTCAAAGGATGGAAAAATCTTCGAGAAGGAATGTGTGGAGTAATACAAAATCAAAAACTTTCATATTTCCCATACTCGCTTGGCAGTTGATCTTAAATTTATTTGATTATAATAATTAAACAACAAAATAATAATTATTATCATTTCAATTAAGATTAAAGTTTTAATTTTTGATCGACTATGATTTGTTTCGTTGTACGTTTATTTTATTTAAAAAAAAAAAAAAAACAGAACAAAAAATGATATATATTTGATTAGACAAAAAACGAGCTTGATATGAACTATTGTATAATAAATAATTGTTTAATAATTCAAATGATTATTAACTGCCAGGTTAGTTTAGGATATGTGATGATAATGTCTAACAGGTGCAGGCAGCTTTTGTTTTCCAGCTTCTTCACGTCTCACAAAAAAAAAATGGAGAGGCGTTGCAACAACGTGTGTAATATTGGATCTAGCTACCTTTTGCTATTATTATTACTACTACTATTCCGTTAATCGTTTTCTAATCAATCGTCGTTTCAAGTTCTTATTTCACTCGTCATTCCTTTTAAACAAAACAAAAAAAAACAAACAAAAACAAAAAGAGAGATCGAGACTGCTGGAATGTCGCTGCGTTATAAATAATGTCATTTACCGATACGAAATGTTTACGCTTTTAAGCTAAATATTAATATGAAATAATAATAATAATAATAATAATAATAATAATAATAATAATAATATGTATTGCTTGTAAAACCTGCAAACGTGTCCATCGTTCGAAATATTTCACGATTTTTAATGTAAATATTTTCAATGATTTTCAAGAAATCAAATAAATTTTTAAATAATTTCAATGAATTATATTCAATTAAATTATTATTGTTTTAAAAGTTATAATAAATAAATAATAATTTTTTTTTCTTTACAAATACAAGTTACTATTTTATTAATTCAATTGTTTTATATAGTATTATTAATTTTTTTATAGTAAAAATAAATAATCTTAATTATTATTTTATATAATTATAATATATATTATTATATTATATAAAAATATAATATATATAATATTAAATAATTAAAATTATTAATATATTATATAAAATATATTAGAATGAATAAATATATATATATATAATAATATATATGTTATATATAAGATATTATATATTTATATAACTATTTTATTAATTAAATTATTTTATATAATATTATTAATTTTTTTTTTTTTTTATAATATAAATAATAATAATTAATATTTTATATAACATAAGATATTAAATATTTTCAATATAAATATCTTTGTGTGTGTATAAATAATTACAATAAAAGACAAAATCGTGTAACATGTATACGTAACATGGACACCACCAACCACCCACCCACCCACTTGTGAAAAGAAAGTAAAAGAGAAAAAGAGATAGATAGATAGAGATCATTAATCATCGTTAGAAATGTTTCGTATTTAAAACATAGTATAGTAGATATATAATTGGGTTTTTTTTTTCAGGACAAGTATTTTCGCAACCGTTGAATAATCGCGCTAAAGTGATGTTCACAAAGGAAGCACCGGCAAGCGAGGACGACAGTTACATGGGCTACTCGGTCGCCACGGGAGACTTTGTTGGAAACGGAGACAGTGGCACGGCTGTTGGTGTACCCAGGGGATCTGGTCTTCGTGGCAAGGTAAGAAAGATATACCTCTTGACCTTTTATTGCTAACCAACAACGATAAATGCCTACCCCTTACGTCTAATCGTCTTCAGTACACCTTTCTTTTTTTCTTCTTCATAAAAAGATTTTTCTATAGGGTTGTTTGATTCTTTTTTTTTTTAAGTTGTAAATAAATACTCTACAGGGTCTGTTTGTTTGATGTTTTTTTTTTTTGACTTTAACAAGCTATTGTATTGGGTTGGTTGTGATTTTGTCAATAGATGATTTTCTAAAATCAGCAACCCAATATTATTAGTATGGGAATAATAATGATAATAATAATGGGATCTATGGGATCATATGATTTATAAATGTAAATAGAATTTGAATTTTTGTTAAAGAGATATGATAAGTCACATCCAAATCTTGACTATGAAATTGTATAAATTTATTCTACAATGAATTATGTTTCATTATATTATTCTATTATTATACTGACAAATTTGTTTGTGTGTTTGTGTGTGTGTGTGGTATCTCAAAAAGAAATTAACTTGATAAAAAATATCTGTACTATGTACTTTCATATTATACTAACAATTTAAATAGGACATCTTTTATATATATATATATATACAGGGTGATCTGTAACTAGTGAAGTTCGTAGATTATTTCTGAAAGTTCGTACGTAACTATTTTTTCATGTAGAATCACCTTCTTTTCATTTTGTACCACCAGTTACAGATCACCCTGTATATTCTAATCGTCATTGTTTTAGGTCGTACTATTCACTTCCAATATGACTAATCATCAGAACGTAACTGGTGAACAAATGGGTGCATACTTCGGTTACGCAGTTGCAGCTGGTGATATTGATGGTGATAATTTGGATGATCTTATAGTTGGAGCACCCATGTATACTATTCCAGATAATCCAGAAATGTATATTGAAACTGGAAGGGTTTATGTTATTTATCAAGGAAGAGGTTTAGAAAAATTCCGAAAGGTTGACAGCAGGTATGATTGACAATAAAAAAAAGGAATATTATTTGAACACTTTAACGACCGCTAGGGTTTCAACAGCATATGCACGTCTGATCGACAATTCAACTGCAGATTCTACTAACAAATTTTAATAAGATGCTAAATAAGATTCTAATAACAAATTACAGTTCATGTAATAACAGTGACTCTTTATCGCAATGCCAACCGATAATTAAGTTTTCGGTTGGTGACAAAAAGCTGAATAATAAATTGTTGTTCGGTAAGCATCAGTAACAAAAACAGCCTATTAATAGGCTAGCGGTCGATAAGCGTTGTCAACAAAAAGCCTATTTATAGGCTAGCGGTTGTTAAAGTGTTAAAAATATTTGTCTCTTATCTCATTAGATTAAATTCTAATTTCACTTTTATAGCAGAAACATTAATTAAGAGTTTATATTTTAAAATGATGTGAACAATTCCGTGAATTTTGAAATCACGTTGATGTGTTTGCGCTGAACTTTAGAGATAAGCTTTTTATCTCATTTGTATTTTTATTTTTATTTTTATTTTTTTTTTTGCAGAGACGGAGAGAGTAATCGCGGACGTTTCGGTTTGTCACTGGCATTTCTAGGAGATATTGACCATGATGGTTATGGAGATTTTGCCGTGGGTGCTCCTTACGCTGGATTGAACGGTCGGGGTGCTGTTTATGTTTATCGAGGATCGAGAAATGGCGTATCAGAGAAATATTCTCAAGTTATTCATGCAGAAGAATTGAACGTCCCAATTGAAACCTTTGGATTTTCCGTAGCTGGTAGTTTGGATCTCGATGGCAATCATTATCCCGATTTGGTCGTTGGTGCTTACGAATCTAGCTCGGCATTCTTCTTCAGAGCACGTCCAGTTATCAAAATGGATTCTTTCGTTACATTTGAAACCGAATCTAAATTGATTTCATTGGACGATAAGAATTATACTCTATCCGATGGTACCAGAGTTACGTCTTTACCATTAAGAGGCTGTTTCAAATACAGTGGTGATGGTGTCTCATCCAAATACGTTTTCAATGTTCAATATGTCGTTGACGTTAAGAAAACTAAAGCACCCCGATTATTTTTCATCGAGGATGAGAATAAAAATATGATAAACAAAACGATCACGATCGAACGAAATCAACAACTCTGTCGTACAGTACAGGTATAGATCTGTAGTTTAATTCTATTCTAATCTTTTTATTTAAATCTTGTATTTAACATCATCATCATCATCATCATCATTATCTATTGTTTTAGGTTTACGTGACACCTAACATACGCGATAAGTTGACATCGTTGGAAGCTGAGTTACGTATAAGTTTGAAAGACGATCATTTGCCTGATAATCGTCCACGTGATCCTAGGATTTCGTTAAGACCAGTTATCGGTGCTACCACGTCCAAAAAAGATTCATTATCGATAAGAAAGAATTGTGGTCCTGATAATGTCTGCATACCAGATCTACGACTCAGTGTGAAACCAAACGTTGGACGATACCTTCTAGGATCTGGAAAGAAATTGGAATTGGAGATTTTGGTGATAAACAATGGCGAGGATGCTTTCGAAGCGACTTACAATATACAATTGCCAGCTGGTATCGATTATATTAAAATCGAGAGAATCGATAAAACCGAAGTACCCGTACAATGTTCAGCACCTAAACAATCAAACAACAATACTTTGCGTTGCGATATCGGCAATCCTTTACCTCAAATGCAATTGGTCAATTTCAAAGTACTATTGCAACCTGTTACATCTAGCAGTATGGCACCTTCTTACGAATTTTATATGGAAGTAAATACGACCAATCCTGAGAATAGTACAACAACCGGTGATAACAGTTGGCACTTGTCTTTACCAATTTGGATCGAAACAGAATTAATTGTGGAAGGTGAAAGTCGACCTAAAGAAATCTATTACAATCCTAACAATTACACTGGAACGAACGTTACGACTGAATCGGAATTTGGACCAGCTGTCATTCATAATTATATTATATATAATCAAGGACCATCGGATATAGTTGAAGCAGAAGCATTTCTCATATGGCCAGCACAAACTCTTGCCGGTGAAGAATTGTTGTATTTGATTGAGCAACCAGAAACAACTGGATCGATTGCTTGCGAAACGGCCAATGCTAATTATCTTAGCCTGCAGGTAAAAAAATAATAACATTAACAAATTGTCTTAATAATTTATCGTTATATTATATTAACGTTTTAATTTTTGTTTGTTGTTTTTTTTGTTTTTTTTTTTAGCTTGAGCAACGTAAAAGACCATTGCAAAATTATCCCGATCCATCTGGCGTTATTTTGGATGAATCGCATTCGGGCAAGACGATCAACGTACAAAGAGGTTTTGAAACGATGCAAGGTAATAATAAATCAAATCGCAAGGAAGAAAGTGACGTAAACAGTGGTGACAGTTCGGACATACAAAAATCACGACACTCTTCATCGTCATCTACGAATGTAATTAACAGCGAAACCAGAAGGATACAACTTACATCTAGCGGAGAACAATCCGGTGTAATAAGCACCTCGTATACGCAAAACAGTTCTGGTTTGACGAGTAGTAGTAGTACTAGTAGTAGTAGTAGTAGTAGTATTGGTGGTGGTAGTAGTACATCCGATGGAATATCTGGTGTTAACAGAGGAATTATTTTCCATTCGGACTCCGATGGTTATGGTGGTAGCTCAACGAATATAGGAAGTGGATTACATACGACCGTTCAAGGAAATAATTTCGATTCGAATTTATCAAATTTGGAAAAATCACATAACAACAAACAATTAAATTACAATAGGACTTTTGCTGGTCGTTGGAATGAAGGTGATAGAATTGTTTATGGAAATCAAGAAAGTTCATTTTCTTCGATGCGTACTCCAGTGCTCGTCGATGAAAGTGAAAATATAAGACAGTACGAAGAACGCGTGAGAAAACAGGAAGCAGAACGTCGTTATCAGGAACAAGAAACTATAAGACTCGAGGAAGAAGCTCGTTTGAGAAGGTTGCAAGAAGAGAGACGTTTAGATCAATTAAAACGAATTGAGGAACAACAACGTTTGTCTCGACAACAAGAATATGAACGTTTGTTATCGGAAGAACGACGAAAGGAAGAAGAACGTAGAAGAGAAGAAGAACGATTAAGACAAGAAGGAGGAAAAGAAGGAGAAGGAGAAGGAGAAGAAGAAGAAGAAGAATATGATTACGATGACGAAAAGACATATGATGATGTTTTGGAAAATCGTGACGAAGAAAGGCAAACGGGAGGATTCATAACTGGTGATAGAGAACATGTTGTTGGTAGCAGTGAACTAGAATTTCGTTTGCGAAACATTAGTTCTACTCAAGAATTAGAGAAGATTCTTGGATCATTGTCGAAAGAAGCGACTGGTTATCAATCGTACAGTAGACAGGGTAAACAATATGTTCAGTTTATGGGACGATTTAGAACATCAGCCGATAGGAAAGAATACATAGAATTTCAAGATGGTTCGATGTTCCCATTACAAGATCAAAGAGGCGTACAGAGTTACAGTTCTGAATCAATCGAACCACAAGATAGTAGATTTTTGAGAATAGAAGGTCAGCTTTTGATTGGACAAGATAGGAAAGGATATATAGTGTTGAAAGATGGTCGTAGATTTCCTTTACAAGGATCTTACACTTATACGGAAGAACGTACTTACACTATAGGTGGTAATAATCCAACTATCAAATCTTATAGCAGATCACAACAAACGGGGGGATCATCCAATGTGGATAAAGATTACGAGAGCCGATTTAGCTCGCACGTTGACGAACACACACGAACGGAGGATAGACAAGTAGACAGCAGAGTCTATGGTAGAAATCGTTTCGATCTTGTTGGTGAGATAGATCCAAATCATCTCAATTCAAGATTTAGACGAGAGAATGACGATGCATTGAGCGTAGCTGAATTTAGAAAATTCGAACAAATGAATAATAGACATCGTCGACAAATCGAAGATAATCTTTCCTCAGATGTAACTAATTCTATCGTTCAAAATCCGAATCCATGTAATACAACAAAATGTGTCATATTACATTGCGTCCTTGGTCCTTTGAAGAAGGATCAAGAGATAACCATAGCAGCAAGGTATCTCGTTAATATAAGAACTTTGAAGAAACTTGCGTTCCAAGAAAAAATTAAAGTCTCCAGTCAGTTGGTAGCACGTGTTACCAAGCAACCCTTTATTGGTACGCCAGTTGAACAAGTGGTAAAAAGTCACGAAATTTATACGAACATCGAACCAACCGCTGCTCCGTCCTCTCCAGATATCATTCCACTTTGGATAGTTGTTTTGTCGGCTTGCGCTGGAACGATAATCTTATTACTTCTCATCTACCTACTTCATAAGGTAAGTTTAAAATAACTCTATAATTTTTTTTAGAACGAAAAACATAAAAAATTAATATATATTATCTATGTTAACAGTGTGGGTTCTTCAAAAGAAATCGACCTTCCGATGCACCCGAGAGACAACCCTTAAACAGGAATGGTCACTTTCAACAAGGTGAAGAACACCCTTAAAAATGGCACCTCTCTTCAAAGAGAGTTTCCTTAGACTTTTCGAGCTCTCTCTCTTTCTCTCGTTTTCTATCTTCGAACGAATTTGTATTTTAACGTTTTGATCGTGAATTGGAAATCACGGAAGAAGTGCCTTAACGTTCTCGATGTCCAGCTACTAAAGGAGAAGAAAATGAATCTAGTGGATTTTTTTTTTTTGCAATTGTCTTATATGACAAATGTATAAAAAAAGAAAAAACATCTGGTGCATCGAACGATAATAATTAACGTGTGATGATTTGTTGTCGTTCATACAGCAATACTTACTGCCACTTAATACTCCTTCCAGCTCCTGCAGCAGTTAGATCCACGCAAGTTTCTAGTCAGGAGATGTTTTGTTTTTTTTTTTTTTAACGTGTAACTTAATTTACTTTGAAGCCATTACCTTACGGGTCATCAGAAGCGAGAGAAATTCTCAAAGTTTTATTACCTTTCCTTTCTTTTTTTTTTGTTATTATCAACTTATGCAAAAGACCTTAACCTTTTGAGGAATCTCATTCGCTTCTACGATCAACAACAACAACAACAACAACAAAGCCTTAATGTGGGCTACTCGTTACATCTGGGAAAGCAGGCTTGGCAATATACGCTAATTTTTTCATATTATTTATTAAATTTATATATGTATGTATGTAAACCATGTAGTAACATAAAACCAGAGCGTCGTAACATATGATTAGTAGGGCTGCAGCCATGCCCCAGGTGTGTGTGTATAATTTTGTAAATTATTAATTATGTTATTATTATAATACTTAAATTATACGAAAAGTAAGTTTTATTAACGCGGAATAATAATAATAATATCGTTTGACTGATGTGATGAGAAATGAGATAAATAAAATCAGTCAATCGATAAAATACAGAAAATAATTTTTGTAAATACAACATTTTAAGCGAGTCGTAACATTAAAGAAAAAAAAAAATATATATATATATGTATAATGATATTAATATTAATTAAATGCTGTTATTTTTTGTTCTTTTTTTTTTTTTTTCTTCGTCACTGATTTGCGTAATAAATTTATAATCTAATTTAAAATGATCCTATATGTGACAGATAATAAAAAAAAAGAGAAAGTTTATAATATAAAAATTATATAAATATATATATAGTAATTAAAAATATTACATAATAATGTATGTATTAAAGTGAACTACTTTAAGTAAATACTTACAAAAATATTGTAATGATCCAGCACGAAGAGATACCACCATGATCATTTGTCTTCAATCAAATGTTTTTAACTCAGCTCGATCATGTCAATCTGTGAACAAGACTTTGGAAAAGAAAAAAAAAACAAACAAACAATATATCGTATCAAATATTACGAGATAGAATTGATTTTATATTATAAAAATGTATATTTATTTATTCGTTTCATAACGTCATTTTCGCGTTAAAATGGGATAGACAATTATTTGCAATAAATTTTCGACTTTTTTTATTTTCAATATTTTTTTCTTTTTCTCATTGATAAAATTGTATACAAAAATAATCTATAATGTGTTACAATTATTTTGTTGTTTTATTCTTTCTTTCTTTCTTTCTTTCCTTTTTTTATTTTTTTATTTTTAAATTTTTTAATTCTTTTCTTTTTTTTTTTATTTGTAAAATATATTATCACTATAATATCCTGAATGTGTTTTGAGTTTCGAAAGTTTCGTATAAAAAGATAGAGTTATTATAGATACGACGATTTTGATTAATCGTCGGGAATAAATAAAGACGCTTCATGATCGTTACGAAATAATAACTAAAATTCATCG